TAGAGAGCAGGGAGGGTATTCCTCTTGGTAACACAATTCCTTACTCCACACGTCTTCCTAGCTGAACTAATTCAACCTGGACTAGAATTTACAGCAGCTGGGCAAGTATTCCCCTGGTGTCTGTATTCACTGGAGGCATTTCTTTGCCAAAGGAAAGCTTTGGTCTTAGAAACCAGAAGGTGGAGGAGAGAGAAGGTGTCTGTTCCTCAGAGGGCCAAGATGAGGCTGGAAGGACTGGAGACTGCGCTCTGGGCTCTGGATGGGCTGCTGCCGGGCCCAGGGCCCAAGGTAGGGAAGCGAGGCCACAGACCGCTTTGTTCAAGAACCATGCTTCAGCTCTCACTGGATGAAATGGAGAGAAGAAGATCCCTGGCACTTCCAGACGGTAGGAAGTTGCTAAACCAATAACACTTCTCTCAGTGGCTTTTGGGCAGTTGACACAAAAAAGCCCAGGGGAGAACCTGAACCAGCTTTTTCATGAGCCCATCTGAAGCCCAGAAATAACTGGGGGCACTTTGGGAGGTTGACCTGTTTTGGATGGGTGGGTGGGTGGGTGAGTGGGTGGTGGTAGTAGATATGAACCAACAATTTGGATTTTGACATGATTATGATCCTCTGACAGTGAAGAGGGGCTTTAATGTGAGCAAACTGGGGTTTCCTATTTATTTTACAGGACTACCCCCCCAAATAATGCATAATGAGAAGATTTTTTGTGCAAGATATTTTAGCAACTAGACTAGCAGTCAGTGAGCTCTACTATGCCTTTGTTAAGGAAATACATCATTGGTGAAAGCTGTCTAAGCCAAGTTCCCCACTCGTCGCCACGAGTGGCCGAAGCTGGGGGATGGAAGCCTCGTTGCTGTCAGTACAGATGCTGATGGCCCAGGTGGCCACCAGTAAGATGTATGGGATGTCTGAGTGGCCATGTGTAGCCTGTCTGATTCTCAGGGACTTGGCAGCACTTGGGGTGGGATGCATGCTGGTAGCCGCCTCTGGTGTTGTAAATCTTCAGAGGCATAATGATTATTAGCTGATGGAGGAGTCATCTGGAGGCAGTCGCTGCTTTTGCTAAATCATAATGAGGTGGGAGCAACTCAGCTGCTAGTAGCTGTAACTATAAAACTGAACTGGAGTCATGAAAATGTTTTTGAATAATGCTATGTCACTTGGTGGCACTATTTACTATAACATCACTGATCTGGTTGCTAAATGCCTTGAATATCATCCCTGGTTAAGAATTAGATCTTAAGTGTATGGAGTGTTTGTGGCCCCACTCACCTTGTCACAGATGCTTTCTCTCCACTGTGTTCCCTGTGGGTTGTTTGAGGTCAGATTGTCTTGTGTGACTGAGTGAGGGGTATGAAGAATTTCAACAACTACTGCCCGCAGCTTTGTCTGGCACTGTTCTTAAACTAGGAACAATACTTATAGTACCTTCCAGACACGTTCTTAAGCAGTTAGCTTATGTACTGGACCAACCCAACTTGTGACTAGGGCCAATTGTGATGCATGAGTGGTTTCCTTCCCATCAGCAGTTAAGCTGCGGTCCTTAACGGCAATGAACCCTTGATGGTAACAGGAAGGGTTCCTACAGCCTGATGCCTTGTGCAGTGACCTGAGCCTCTGAGAAGTTACTGTTAGAGGCAATGCTTGCTTTGTTCTTTCAAAAATTACTTGGAAGAGTTCAAGTTTAGTAGAATAAAATGACAATGGATCCTTCGACCTAGTCTTAAGACAAGCTCCCAGTCCATCTTCCAAGCTAAGCTTTGGCCACCACTCCGGCAATGAACATTTGTTCAACATGAATCCACAATGCAAGTCATGGTCTTGAGCTAATACAAAATTACTCTGAAAGATGAAGTCTGAAAACTGGCCGCAGGCCTGACTTAACAGTGAAGGCAGTTCTTACATATGCCTTCCTGTCCCTGCCCTTGCCTACTTCACCAGGACCAGTCTGGGTGTAAGTGCCTAAACCTAGCAACAGATGAAGGATCCAAACATGAGGAACTGGTCAGTATTTGACTTGACTCAACACCGAGGCTGAAAGAAATTTAACCTGCTATACCCCCAGCAGTCAGATGTCCAGTTTGTCTCCTCAGTCAGGAAATGCCAACACATGAAGCGCAGTCAACATTTTGCTTTGTCCAAGAATTACAAAATTTGGGTGAATAGGTAATCACCTTGTCTGGTAATGGAAGTTTCCTCAAATAGACATTTTAAATCATAACCACAACTTTGATAGCACTTTTTCTTGAAGCTTACAGATGTGAAAGCTTAGAGTTAAGTTTACAGGGCTTGTTTGTGTTTATGATCAAGTACTAAATGAATTGCCTGAATGTTTACAACCTGGTGGTTGTCATGTCTCTACAGTTCTGTGGGGACTCTTAAAACTTGAATTAACAGAGCAAGCTACCCATTAGTTCAGAAGGGGAGCCTAGAAGCGCTCTGCCACACCGAGTGTTTTCATGCCTTCCTATTCTCCATCCCTATTGTTTGTTGGAATTGGGTATATTTTAAAATATTTCTTTCAGAGGTTCCTACACCTCTCACAGGGGTGAAGGTTTATCTGATCAGTAGATGACAAGTTCCCAGATAAACCTGAAAGGAGTACTGCCACAGTGCCAGGGATACTCTGAACAACATGAGCCATGTTCAAGTTTGAAATAACACAGAGCTTCAGGTCGGGGAAGCCAGGTTGATGTCTATTCAGTGTACCTCACAGTGAATTCTGCACTGAATGCAGCTTCCGTTAAGTTTCTTTCTACTGGGTTGCTTCACATAATGAAGGCATCTCCATTAATGGTTGGTTTAAAGCAGATGTTTTAAAATGCCCTGGATCCATGGTATAGAGCTGCTTCTTTTGGGGTTCTCGTTATTGTCCTTCTGGGTGCATTCTCATGTTCATACTAGTTCATACTAGTACCTCTCTTGCTTAATTTAATACCACTTCTCCCCCACCTCTTAAGTTCAGAGTTCTATTCTCTATCCTTAATCCACTCCTACCACTTTGCTTTAAACTCTAGTCAATATTGGTGGTTCTGGTTCCCCTTTTGTCATAGGCATTAGTTTATAGATGTTGTTTGTTGCTCAAGTTATGTAGGATCATGGTGTCAGTTCTGTGAACAGATCAGGGTCATGAAAATTTTATAAAACGTGTATATGAACAAGGAATAGTAGTAGCTACAGTAGCTAACACCTTCTAAGGCCATTATTCTGAATGTTTTACTTATATTGGTTCATTTATTCCCTAACTACCTGATGGGGTAGATTTATCATTTTATAGACAAAAAATATGAAGCCCAGCGATTGTTAGTTTCTCAATCTCTCACCCCTGGAAATTATTCATTTTAAGTTGTCGTTGTGATTAAACTGACCTTACAATGATTTGCTATCAGGTCCTAGAACAAACATTCCACCTACTGCTTAATATTGTAGTAAAGGGTTAGGTAAAACATAAATATCAAACAATCTAAACCAAAGCCACACTCACCCCTGGAAATTGTTCATTTTAGGTTGTCGTTATATGATTAAACTGACCTTACAATGATTTGCTATCAGGTCCTAGAACAAACATTCCATCTACTGCTTAATATTGTAGTAAAGGGTTAGGTAAAATATAAATATCAAACAATCTAAACCAAAGCCACACATAGTCAGGTGGATGTCATCCCTGCCTTGTTCGGTGGGAAGTTAGATGTCTTAGGGGAACAAGTCACTTCCTGTAGCAAAGTCCTGTCTGCTTACTTGGCTCTTGTGTACACTGACTCAGGTCAACGATGGGTAACATGGAGCTTCTGGTGAGCGGAAGCTGTTGGTGTGATATGGCTGGGTAAACGTAATGAACTTAGTCATGTACACACTTGCATCAGACTGACCAAGTAGACATAAAAAGGTGGAATGAGTCTGTTGTAAGTTGGACCACATCTTGCTGTCTCTTTCCTCTTTCGTGGCTCAACTCCACCTAAGAGATCTCTCTGGTTGTTTTAAGGGCTGAGATTAACAGTTAAGGGCTGCTTGATTTAACAGATGCAGATAATTCTCCTTTATAGTAAAATCTAGATTCACTTAGCAGAATACATGCCTGATTCAGTGAAGCAATCAGAACCTGTCACCTGATAAACTAGAACTGATGCAGTACCTTAGAGGAAGATTTCTACAATAGTCAGTTTCTACTTCCAATGCTGTACCTAAGAAAACATTTAAGTATAGTCTCACTGCCAGATAAATGTATCTAAACTACTCAGTACCAGTTATTGTCAACTTTTATAGGTGATACTTAGAGGCAAAATGCCCAGAGTCTCCCTTATATGAGAGGAGATCTGATTCCAAAGCCAGATACTCGTTTTATTGGACGAAGAGGTGATGAGTGGTTGTGGAAATACCGCCCTCAGCCCCTGACTCACCTGACTGTCGGTTGCTTCTCCTCTCCTTCCCTATAAATGGGTGGTTATCCAACACCTTGTGCTTTGTTTTCCCAGATGACTAACATAGTTGTTTCAATGACCTTCTCTTCCTCCCAGCTGGCTTGTGCAAGTCTTTCTACTTCAGTTGTATTGAGATTGTTCTATGTCTTCATACGGACTTCCAGTCTTGATTCCTTTGTTCTTTGTTTGTCTCAGTATTTTAGCTCCTTCCTTTTTGTTAGCTTGCTCCCATCCCCTGCCCCCAGAACAATCTTTTTTTTCTTAAGAGATATGTAGATACATTTTATTATGCTTATTACAGGGGTCAAAATTGAGGATGTTATTCACCTGGATCTTCTCAGTGCTGATCAAAATTAATTTTATCAGTTTCAAACCACTTAATTTGTTTCAAGAGAAGTTTTCTTCCCCTCAATATTTTATCTAGTTTATTATTATTTTTTAACTATTGCCAAAGTTTATTTAACAAAAAAGTTCAATATGAAAATATACACCTGATTTTCATATTGCAGTAAAAAACATGTGCCATGGAGAGGGGACGTGCAAGCAGTTGATTTCTCTGGTGAACACAGCCATTGCTTATACTTGTTCCAAGGCATCCAACATGATACTGTTTCCTCGTATTACCATCATTCCAATATTGTTCTGTTGTCCACTAGTTGCGATCTCCACACATTCATCTATCACAAGATTCATAAAGGGATCAAATCCCCTCAATATTCCTTGGGCATGTCTGCTACCATTTAATTTCAGTGATAACTTTTTGTCCATAAATGTTTTCAATTTGGGAAGCTGAGCTTTGCTCATGGTGCCTATATCGCGAACTGAAGGATGCCTCCAAACGAACTTGCAACCCACCTCATGTTTTGCGTCTGACGTCAACGATTCCATTAGCCAATTGGTTGCTGAAAGCTTTCACATTTCACCTCGCGATACTTAGGGGAAGCCTGATGGGGTCGATCAGCCCTAGCTCCTGGTTGTGTCGGCAGTGACTGGCTAGGATGGAGGAGGTGGGGCCACAGGGCATTTTCCTTAATTCTGAATCTTCTGTAAAGTAACTGTGTTCTGTAAAACTTCTGATCTACACCAGTCAATCACTTATCTTTGAGGATTGCATCGGTTACCTTGTTCATATAGACCAAATAAAAACTGCAGGGATGGGCCCTTATTGCTTGGGCATGTATTTTCACAGTATGTAGTCATGCTAAGCCTATTGTTCCAGTAACATTTTAGTGACCTCCGCAACAGAAGAGCAGGGTGGTGGAGTCAGTCTAAGAAGTTTTTTTTTTAATCATTGTATATTTATTTATTTATTTTTCACTTTGTATTATTATTATTACTATACACTTACATAAACAACATTGTGGTTTCTAGATTTCCCCCGTTATCAAGGCCCCAACACATACCCCATTATAGTCACTGTCCATCAGTGTAGTAAGATGATGCTATAGAATCACTACTTGTCTTCTCTGTGCTATACTGCCTTTCTTATGCCCACCCCCTACATTATGTGCGCTATTCGGAATGCCCCTTTTCCCCCTTATCCCTCCCTTCCCACCCGTCCTCCCCAGTCCCTTTCCCTTTGGTAACTGTTAGTCCATTCTTGGGTTCTGCTTTGTTCAGGTTTTGCTTTGTTCTTATACTCCACAGATGAGTGAAATCATTTGATACTTGTCTTTCTCCACCTGGCTTATTTCACTGAGCATAATACCCTCTACCTCCATCCATGTTGTTGCAAATGGTAGGTTTTGTTTTCTTCATATGGCTGAATAATATTCCATTCTATATATGTACCACATCTTCTTTATCCATTCATCTACTGATGGACACGTAGGTTGCTTCCGTTTCTTGGCTATTGTAAATAGTGCTGTGATAAACATAGGGGTGCATATGTCTTTTCAAACTGGGATCATGCATTCTTAGGGTACATTCCTAGAAGTGGAATTCCTAGGTCAAATGGTATTTCTATTTTGAGCATTCTGAGGAACTTCCATACTGCTTTCCACAATGGTTGAACTAATTTACATTCTCACCAGCAGTGTAGAAAGGTTCCCCTTTCTCCACATCCTCGCCAACATTTGTTGTTGTTTGTCTTTTAGATGGTGGCCATCCCAACTGGTGTGAGGTGATATCTCATTGTGGTTTTAATTTGCATTTCTCTGATGATTAGTGTTTTGAAACATCTTTTCATGTGACACTGTTGGCCATCTGAACTTCTTCTTTGGAGAACTGTCTGCTCGGATCCTCCAACCATTTTTTAATTGGGTTATTTGGTTTTTTGTTGAGGTGCATGAGCTCTTTGTATATTTTGGCTGTCAACCCCTTATCGGATATGTCATTTATGAATATATTCTCCCATACTGTAGGATGTCTTTTTGTTCTACTGATGATATCTTTTGCTGTACAGAAGATTTTAGTTTGGTATAGTGCCTCTTCTTCATTTTTGCTTTTGTTTCCCTTGCCCATGGAGATATGTTCATGAAGAAGTTGCTCATGTTTATAATCCAGAGATTTTTGCCTATATTTTTTTCTAAGAGTGTTATGGTTTCATGACTTAGATTCAGGTCTTTGATCCATTTAGAGTTTACTTTTGTGTATGGAGTTAGACAGTTATCCAGTTTCATTCTCTTCCTGTAGCTGTCCAGTTTTGCCAACACCAGCTGTTGAAGAGGCGGTCGTTTCCCCATTGTATATCCATGGCTCCTTTATCGTATATCAATTGATCATATATGTTTGGGTTAATATCTGGACTCTGTATTCTGTTCCACTGCTCTGTGGGTCTGTTTTTGTGCCAGTACCAAATTGTCTTGATTACTGTGGCTGTATAGTAGAGCTTGAAGTTGGGAAGCAAGATCCCCCCTGCTTTATTCTTCCTTCTCAGGATTGCTTGGCTTCGGGATCTTTTGTGCTTCCAAATGAATTTTAGGACTATTTGCTCTAGTTCATTGAAGAATGCTGTTACTATTTTGATAGAGATTGTATTGAATCTGTAGATTGCTTTAAGGCAGGATGGCCATTTTGACAATATTACTTCTTCCTATCCATGAGCATGGGATATATTTCCATTTATTGGTGTCTTCTTTAATTTCTCTCATGAGTGTCTTGTAGTTTTCAGGGTATAGGTCTTTTACTTCTTTGGTTAGGTTTATTCCCAGGTATTTTATTCTTTTTGATGCAATTGTGAATGGAATTGTTTTCCTGATTTCTCTTTCTGCTAGTTCATTGTTAGTGTAAAGGAATGCAACAGACTTCTGTGTATTAATTTTGTATCCTGCCACTTTGCTGAATTCAGTTATTCTAGTAGTTTTGGAGTGGATTCTTTAGCATTTTTTATGTATAATATCATGTCATCTGCAAACAAAGACAGTTTAACTTCTTCCTTACCAATCTGGATGCCTTTAATATCTTTGTGTTGTCTGATTGTCGTGGCTATGACCTCCATTACTATGTTGAATGAAAGTGGGAAGAGTGGACATCTTTGTCTTGTTCACAATCTTAAAGGAACAGCTTTCAGCTTTTCGCTGTTAAGTATGATGTTGGCTGTGGGTTTGTCATATATGGCCTTTTGTTGAGCTACTTGCCCTCTATACCCATTTTGCTGTGAGTTTTTATCATGACTGGATGTTGAATTTTGTTGAATGCTTTTTCAGCATCTGTGGAGATGATCATGTGGTTTTTGTCCTTCTTTTTGTTGATGTGGTGGATGATGTTGATGGATTTTTGAATGCTGTACCATCCTTGCATCCCTGGAGTAAATTCCACTTGATCACAATAGATGCTCTTTTTGATGTATTTTTAAATTCAGTTTGCTAATATTTTGTTGAGTATTTTTGCATCTATGTTCATCAGGGATATTGGTCTGTAATTTTATTTTTTGCAGTGTCTTTGCATTGATTTGTCTTGTTTCAGTATTATAGTGATGCTGGCCTCATAGATAGATGAGTTTGGAAGTATTCCCTCCTCTTCTACTCTTTGGAAAACTTTAAAGAGGATGGGTATGAGGTCTTCACTAAATGTTTGATAGTGAAGCCATCTGGTCCTGGTGTTTTGTTCTTGGGTAGTTTTTTGATTACCAATTCATTTCATTGCTGGTAATTGGTCTTTTCAGATTTTCTGTTTCTTCCTGGGTCAGTCTTGAAAAGTTTTGTTTTTCGAGAAAGTTGTCCATATCTTCTAGTTTATCCAGTTTGTTAGCATATCATTTTTTATAGTATTCTCTAATAATTCTTTTTATTTCTGTAGTGTCCGTAGTGATTTTTCCTTTCTCATTTCTGATTCTGTTTATGTGTGTAAACTCTCTATTTTTTCTTGATAAGTCTGGCTAGGAGTTTATCTATTTTGTTTATTTTCTTGAAGAATCAGCTCCTACTTTTACTGATTCTTTCTATTGTTTTATTCTTCTCATTTTTATTTATTTCTGCTATGATATTTTATTTCCCTCTTTCTACTAACTTTGGGTCTCATTTGTTCTTCTTTTCCTAGTTTCATTAATTGTGACTTTAGTCTGTTCATTTGGAATTCTTCTTTCTTGAGGTAAGCCTGTATTGCAATATACTTTCCTCTTAGATATGTCTTTGCCATGTACCACCAATTTTGGGGTGTTGTGTTGTTGTTTTCATTTGTCTCCATATATTGCTTGATCTATTTTTATTTGGTCATTGATCCATTGTTTATTTAGGAACATGTTATTAAGCCCCCATGTGTTTGTGGGGTTTTGTTTTCTTTGCATAATTTATTTCTGGTTTGATACCTTTGTGGTCTGAGAAGCTGGTTGGTACAATTTCAATCCTTCTGAATTTATTGAGGCTCTTTTTTTTTGGCTAAGTATGTGATCTATTCTGGAAAATGTTCTATGCGCACTTGAGAAGAATGATTATCCTGTTGCTTTTGGGTGGAGTGTTCTGTAGATGTTGGTTAGGTCCATCTGTTCTAGTGTGTTGTTCAGTGCCTCTGTCTCCTTATTTTTTGTCTTGTTGATCTGTCCTTTGGAGTGAGTGGAGTGTTGAAGTCTCCTAAAATCAATGCACTGCATTCTATTTCCCCCTTTAATTCTGTTAGCACCTGTTTCACATAAAGGGTGCATAGATATTTATAATGGTTATGTCCTCTATTGGACTGACCCCTTTATCATCATGTAAGTTCTTCTTTGTCTCTTGTTTCTTTCTTTGTTTTGAAGTCTATTTTGTCTGATACAAGTACTGCAACTCCTGCTTTTTTCTCCCTATTAGTTGCATGAAATATCTTTTTCCATCCCTTCACTTTTAGTCTGTGTATATCTTTGGGTTTGAGGTGAGTCTCTTGTGGGCAGCATATAGAGAGGTCTTGTTTTTTTTTTTATCCATTCTGTAACTCTATGTCTTTTGATTGGTGCATTCAGAGCATTTATATTTAGAGTGATAATCAATAGTTATATACTTATTGCCATTGCAGGCTTCAGATTCAAGGTTATGAAAGGCTCAAGGGTAGCCTTTTTACTATCTAACATTCTAACTTAATTCACTTATTATGGTATTCTAAACATAGTCTAAAGGTCTTTTTTTCCTCCCTTTTTCTTTCTCCACCACTTTTTATATAATAGGTGTCATATTTTGTACGCCTTTTATCTCCTGTCTGACTTTGTGGGTAGTTGATTTAAGTTTGCATTTGCTTAGTAATTAATTGGTGTGCCTCCTTACTGTGGTTTTATTTTTCTCTCATGACAGCTATAGCCTTAGGAGCACTTCCATCTATAGCACTACCTCCAAAATACACAGTAGAGATGGGTTGTGGAGGCAAATTTCCTCAACTTTTGCTTATCTGGAAATTCT